ATAAAAAAAAGCGTGAAAAAAATATCTGTGTCAAACAAAACATCAGTTCCTAAAGTAGTTTAAAATAAAGTAAAAACACCTGCATTTCCAATGAACAAAATAAAGAAATGCAAGTTGGAAGAAACTGAGCAATCAATCTTGACAGCTGTGCAAGTGCTCCACTGGTTTGTCCCCACATCTCCCTCTCCTGTTTGACCATACATTGGCCACACCCAGTTCACATTGAAACTACCATGTGATTGATTGAATGTAGGGTTTAATAGTCCAAACAAACAGTTTTAAAATAAAGGTAAATGTATATTACAATGTATAGATAAATGTATATTACAAATTTTCCTCATTAAAAAATCACAGGGAATTTATAAAACTAAATACAATGAAACAGATGTATTCAAAAGTGAGTAAAACCAGATAGAAAGTAAATGTAGTAAAGCATTATAAAACAGTTGCATTCAAAGCTGCATAAAATCAGATAAAATTGTAAATAGGATAAAACAGTTATATATAGTATAAAAGACCAATTGCGCATAAAAACGCAAAAATGTTAGGATGATGAGAGTCACCTAACAAATCCTGCAGAGTTAAAATAGAACTACCAAAAAAGGTAAGACGATGACGGTTAAAACATGAGCAGATGATTAAACAATGATGAATTGTGAGTAAAACTTTACTAGTGTTGCATTGGGGAGGAGGTTCCCTAAATAACAAATGTAGGTTGGTCAGCTGAGTGCGGCCGATTCGGAGACGGTTTAACTTTACATCTACATGCCGCAGACTCATTATAGGATAAGGGTTAAAATCTGTTTTTATTGAGTGCAACTTGTTAGAAATTTTTAGATCCCATTGTTGTTGCCAAACAGATGTGATTAACTGTCGAATATAAGTTTTTGTGTCCGAGAAAGATACAGATAGAGTTGAAACAGAGGTAGCAGATCATGCAGCCGAATCAGCCAAGTCGTTCACTGGAATACGGACGTGACTCGGTACTCAACAGAATCAAATATGAAATCTATTTTTGTGAAGGGTAATCAACAAATGATTATTAAAACATAAAATCGGATGATTTTTACTGTTAAAATTTTCCAACTGGCGCAAAACACTCATACTATCTGAGTATATCCAATATTTCCTTGTAGAGCGCGTAGAAATCAGTCGCAATGCCAAGAGGATGGCAACTGCTTCAGCAGTAAAGACAGAACAAATACCATGTGGATACCATGTGGGGTACAGAATAAATGCTATCCCTTTTGCGTTTTTTTTAAAAATTCGTTTTATTTATTTTATACAAACAAAAATCGCAAAACACTCATACTATCTGAGTATATGCAATATTTCCTTGTAGAGCGCGTAGAAATCAGTCGCAATGCCAAGAGGATGGCAACTGCTTCAGCAGTAAAGACAGAACAAATACCATGTGGGGTACAAAATGAATGCTATCCCTTTTGCGATTTTTTTTTAAAATTCGTTTTATTTATTTTTATTTTCTATTTTGCGGCTTCTTTTATTAGTTATTAACTGTTAATATTTTCTTTAAATTTTTTTTTATTATCCTTATTAACTGTTACCTTGTTTTTTGTAGTTATTCATTGTTAGTTTCTTAGCATTAATTGTTAAATTTTTTTGTAGTTCCTTGTTAGCTTTTTTCTTTCTCAAGAGGTGAGCGTCTTTTGTTAAAACAAAATGTTAGCTTAAAAAAAATGAGAACTTTAATCTCGTTCAGAAGAAGAAACGTTTATTTCTCTTTCAGATTTTTTTTTTCATGATTATATTATATAGATTATTATTTTAATTAATAAAATTTTGTAAGATGGGCCAGTTTTAAATGCACCCCATTATAATCTACAATCAAAACTTAACTAAATTTATTGGTTTTTCTGAAATTAACAGTATAATTGAATTATAGTAATATATGGGTGCCATATCGGAATTTCCGAAATTTCGTTGGTCCCGTTGAGTGCTGGATTTGGGGTCCTATTACTTCCTCATCTGTTCGCTCCAATTACGATTGCCAAGGAGCTAAGTGGATTTTCAGCTTGCGATCTTTCTTTAAGCAGGGATTTTATCTTAAATAATTTTCGTTGATAAATTTTTTGGCTACTAAAAATTATTTTGCCGGAAGCACCACATGCAGGGAAAAAAAACCCGGTAATTTACAATGTAATCGCCCTGAATCGAGTGTGTAAAAAGTTTTCTTTAGGGTGAAAAAGGGAAGTAATAATAACATCGTATTAAAAAACCATGAGGAAAGGGCTGAAAAAATTGTAAAAATTCGCCTGAGCACCTAAAGTAAACACTGGAAATAAAATTATAAGAAATCATGATTAAATCAAATACGTCCTAGAACGATTTTCAAATAAGTCATTAACAAATAGCTCTTACTGAAATACATGTCACATAATAAACATCATATTAATTAAAATATGGAAATTTAAAAAACCATGGGAGAAAAAAAAGTTAGCAGAACTTTGTCAATCATTTGACTGATAAAACGATTATAAAATCATGTAAATTTACGGTGAATAAATTTGAAATTTTCCAATTTAAAGTTCGTGAGTCATAACATTGTATAAAAAACAGCACAATTTGAAAAACCACATAGAAAGGACTGAAAAAATTCTTCATAACAACTGACATTAAAAATAATAAAAAAACATCTAACGGTGTAAAGTTGCGTGTCAAAAAGAGATTACTCAAATTCGCATGACATAATAACATCTTATCAAAAAAGAATAAAATCTTTGAAAAGGAAAAAAAATAATAAAAATTGTGATTGCTGATAGACGATCACAGGTTACCCATTGACAAAAAGGTTGCTGTCTAATTTTTTAAAATTTTTTTTAATTACCTTCCTTATTTTATTCACCTGAATTAGTATTGAAAACGATCCAGTTTGAACTGTAGGTTAGAATTTCTGATTCTTAATTAAAACAATAAATTTCATTCAAATGATGAAATTCTTTTTTATTCGCAACTCAAGAAGTATTTATGGGATCTCTCTGGTCCCATAGCTCAAAAATAAACTTACCAATTTAATGCATAACAAAATTAAATAATAAATGAAAAAAAAAAGAATTCTAAAAAAATTATCAAACAGTAGCAGTCGCCATAGCAACGTATGCACACTGTTTACTATTACTCTTGAACATAGTTGAAGAGAGTGATGACGTCCAAATAAGGTGTGCACGCCATCAAACCCAAAACAACACCCATTTTGCCAATAGGTAATAAAAGTATACATTTTATTTATGTTTTTTCCTTTGAAGAAAAAGCACTTTAATGTAAAATAAGAACTTTTAAGAGTGCTTAATTTCTATGATGCAAAATTATACTTTATTAAGCACATTTAAGGTACGTATGAACCCTACAGCAAAAGGTAATTCAATTCAAGGAGAAATACACAAAATTTCATGTTCTGCACCTCCACAGGAGATTAGAAAACGAAACTTAAGATAGATGATGACTAAAATCATTCCTAGATACAGTGAATGGCTCTCTTGCATATCAAGAGGAATTCATTTGAAAGTGGAAATTGTCTATTTTTTTTAAGTGAATTCAATCCTCTTCTATGCTCCACCCATAGTCCTTCTTTGCTAGAGCAAGAGGATTGTAATATTACGGGTTTGGGAAAATATGAAATCTTTCTTTTGATTGAAATGGGGGGGGGCTGAGAAATTAAAAAGAAGTGAGATAAGTGACTAAGCCTTAAAAACAGTCAATAAAAGTTACTATTTTTTAAGATAGTGACATCAAGTGATAAAAGTGACTCACGCCTAGCCCTTTATAATTAGATTCAGGAACTCTCTCTGAGTTAGTCGAGAGAAATTTCTACAATTTAAGAGAAAAGCAAGGCACAGTCAAAATTTTAAGAAACAAATTAAAGCTTGAAGGAACGTTCAACTTCTGAACTGACTTCCCTTTAATAAACATTAATATTTGCAGTGATGTTGAAGCTATGCATATATAAGATAACTTAGCTAAAACCTTTATTCTACTATATGATTGAAATACTGCAAATAAAAAAAATGTAAAGTTTTTATTTCTGATGAAGTTTTTTTTTTTTTTTTTTTTTTTTTTTTTTTTTTTTTTTTTNTTTTTTTTTTTTTTTTTTTTTTTTTTTTTAAGATGTAGAGTTTTTTCTGTTTTAGTTGTTACTACATCTGTAACTTGTCTGCACAACATTAAAAAATGGCTGCAACTTTGTTACATAATTTGAAAAAAAATTCTGCATAATTTATAGGATCCTACTTAAAAATAAAAGAAAATGATTATAAAAATTTCTGATGTATATATTGGTGTTGAATACATGTCATAAAAGGGGAATTCTATATACGAAGTGTCCTTGTTCAGGATTTCTAAGCAATATTGAAATATATTTATAAATTATTAAACCAAATTTTATTTAATTCTTTAAAAACAATATTATCTTTATTAATAATTTCAGAATTTTTTAGACTCTGATTAATGTAATCAATAATTAGTTAAGTATTTTTTGCTGTTGTACTAATTCAACAGAAGTCAAATTTTAAAAATTCAGAAATATTTAATTTTTGATTTTGAATAGAAATTGCGTCTTAAATGGTATTTTTTCTTACTTATAAAAGAGTACTAACATAATTTTGATCATTCTAAGATCGCTTAATGTCATCTATAAGCGAGGAAAAAAATAAACATTGGTAACAAAATAATAATTACACAATCCATCATATTTGTTTCTTCCTTTCTAATTTCTCTCTATTTCTTGTATAAACTTTATTCTCAAATTGTACCTATCCTTGAAGATTTTTAATTAACGAAACACAAATTAGAATGGTGCACTATCGCTCAGGAACAAAATCAGAAATGATAAACTTTTATATGATTTGAAAAATATGTTTCGCATTATCCTCATTGCTGAATTCATCACTTTTTTTTAACAGATAGTCTGTAAAGAATGTAATGAAAAATATAATTCAGTTAAATAATTTGAAAGCTAAATTTAAAGAGTTATGAAAAATACATACCTTTAGGTGGAAAATATGATTTACTTTCAGCTTTATGGGGCCAATCAACAACCAGTGGACCGAATCGACGGAAGCTAGCTGTTATTTCTTCTAAAATTTAAAAGAAACTATCATTTAAGAATTTTAACATCTTAAAAAAATTAACATTTTTCAATTTAGTACCTTCATCAATATCTGGGGGTAAACCACCAACAAATACTTTACGTGAATATCTTTCATTGCTTTCAGAGCTTCTACTTGTATTTGGTGACATATGTAGAGAATTAAATGAAGTAACAATTTGATCTAACTGAACATCATCTAAAAGGTGATTGTCTTCAATTCCAGTAAAAAAAGGTGATCTGCCTGCAAATATAGTGTACATACAAAACAACCATGTAAAAAATGCTGAAACAAAAAAAAAAAAATAATAATGCACATTCTAGACAGAAAAGAATGATTAATTTTTGTTCACTAAATTTAATTTAAAAATTATACAGCTTTGGGATGCACAACCTACAGCCTAGTGGGTAAATGTGCCCCTTGAATAGCTTATATGTGGTTTCATCAGGTAAAAAAAATATTTCGAAATTTAAACGGAAATGTAAATTTTTTCAAAATTACTTTAATAAACTGAATAAAAAAATTATGCTCTATCTGTATCATTTCTCCATTATTATAACAATTTCCCTATTGTTAGAAATGAAATTTAAAAAAAATATCTATTACAATATTAAACAAATTTTGCAAAAATGTTTTATTTGAAAGTAAATATTAAGAGAACAAATTCCTAATTATATAGTATGAATTACAAAATATCAGCATTCTTACAATTTAACATTCAAATATTAAATCTACAATCCTTTTTAACATTATTTATTTAGCATGGAGGTTTATTTTTGCATATGGCTGGAACAATATATGGCAGAAACAACATGCTTTTAGTATGCTAAGTGCAGTATTTAAAAGATTAAAAGTAATTTTCATAGATAAGTTTATTCTGTAATCTGTATACATACGGATTACATTTATGAGTAGATACTGAAAACAAAATAGAGTGAAAGAAAAAGATTCTCAATAGATAGATATCTTTTATTGAATTTTATGTTTATTTTCTCAACTATAACCAACAGAAATTTAAGAGGTTAACCTTCTGCCATATATAAATAAAGCTAAACAACATAAAAATGGCCTTATTTGTGCTTTTTTTCATTGTGTTTTATAAAGTAGATCAAAATACAAAATATTACCTAATAATGTAGAAAATATATTAAAAGCAACAGCGAGTGTAAAAAGTAGTAACTATTTGGTAACATACAATATTATTTTAACAAAAAACACATAAATATTGGCGAATGCAATGCTAAAATACGTCATGTGGGAAAAAGACCAGTTCTATGTCTTTACCCTCCCTCCTTCTTTTTAGTTGTATAGGAATGTACTATGATATTTTCTTATTTCTTAAAATTTTTTGTACTTAATTGTCAAAAATATTTTTTTTAAATTTCCATGACACTTTCTTTTAAAATTATGTTTAATGTAGTTTTCAGTTCCATATTAATGTAGTTTTCAGTTCCATATTGTTTAACTTAAAAGCTTTTAATTTATTTGAAAATCAAGACAGAAACTAATGTACTTCCTTCTTCTACGACTCTCCACACATTAATGGAGAAAGCAGGTGAAGTGTTGCTATAGGTAGAGAGTTCTGCTCTACGCCACCTGTAGCACATTTCTATTGCCAATACTGCACATGCTTTTACCTTGGGAGAGATTTTAAACATTTAAAAAATAATTTTATGTTTCTTTTTTCAAAAAATCCTTCATAAAACTTAGATATAAAAAAAAGATAATTTCATTTTTTAAATTCACATACTAACCTCTTCGCCTTCCAAAACTTCTAGCTGCATAATGAAGGGGGAAAAACACATGTTTTAAAGTTTTCTTTATCAAATTTATAATATAATAAGTAAAAATACTTCATTTTGAGCATAAAATTTGGTGCATTATCTGACCACTTCTCACGGAAAACAGTAGTTATTAATAGATTAAAAATATGAATGACTTAAAAATTTAGATTTACAACATCCTAATAAGAGAAAGTGCAAAATGAAAGAGAAAATAATCTTTTATATAATTGGCTACATTTTCATTAAATAAAAACAATCATCAAAACAGCTGCATCAATAACAACAGCTGGAATAAAGAAGTTATAATACTGATTAAACAAAAGATACAAAAATGCTACAAGTTAAAATATGAAAAGCATTATGCGTGCAATGTGTGTATATTAATAAGTAAAAAAAATAGAGAAGTTCATATGTTTGAATTTAAGAAAGGGTAAAAAATGAAACAATACCCAGTAAAGAAAACACATCACAGAATTAGTTTGAGTTCACTTCCAATTTAAATGCGCTCTTAAGTAATAAAAACTTGTTACTTTTAGCAAGTTGTTTTAAGCTATAACTTTTTTCTAAAAAAATTATGTTTCAAACACATATGGAGACAAATGCTTATTTTCCTGTCTTTGTTCAAAGATGTAAACAAGTTTTTCATACAACAAATTTTCTTACAACTAATAAGGCAAATAGTTCAGAACCACTGATCTTTATCAAGATAAGTAAAGAAAAAATGGTGAATGCTACACATTTCCTTTTACTAATGCATCATACTTAGAACATTCCCTTCTTTAAAAAACTATATGAAAACTAGTAGTAATAACATTATAAAAATATATTGAAGCATGCTTATTAAATCATAGCTATAGAGTTTTAAAAAAAGCATTATAATGAAGTGAAGGAATGTGTGAATCAAAAATACCCATGCAAAGGTAGATATACACAGAAGATATTGGCTTATTTTTATCAAATTACCTCTAGGAAATTTCTTGCTACCATTGTATTTCTGAGAGCCAAATTCCACAGATGAACCTAAACAAAGAGGCCTTTTTTTACAGTTTTTATAAATCGTTCTGGACTAGTATCACGATTTATTAATATCCAAATATAATATTTCAAGACAAACGAGTTTCATCTTGAAAAATGGAGAAGTAGTTAGAACATAAAAAGAATTTATAAAATCTTTTTCAATATTATTTTTTTCATTATAGAAATTTATTTACTAACTGTATCTTCTATTAATTACACATAAATGATGTGATATACTTTTTCTAGCCCAATTAAATATTTTTGCTTTCATTAATTCCCTTATTAATAAGAATTACTTTCTGAGTTTTAAGAATACAAACAAAATGGAATATTAATCACACAAAAAAGAAAGAAAAACATTTTTACTAAAAGGTTTGTGAGAATTTAGAGCATTTCAAATGTTTTTTCATAAAATTTTGTTATGTTTGTTGAGATGTGAAATTTTACAAAGTCCAAAACAAAAATCTTAAGGACAATTTTTAAATATACAAACTGACTATTGTTGATTTTGAGAACTCTACTCTCACTGTAAATACAAAAATATATTTACAGCATACATAGGAACAAATTTAGTCAATAAAAGTTAGAAATAAAAATTTAAATACTTATATGATGTGAAACAAATCAATAATCTCCAATTTATATAAAAAAATTAAATTAACTTTAAAATTATATATTGATAAATAAAGTGTAAAGAAATGCACATTTGAAAAAGAAAAACTATCTTATGACTTGGCACTTTACACATTTTTCCCAAAAATTGTGAATGTTTTGAGGATTACAAACTCTGACCATGTGAAGACTGCTAATGGAGATCGACGACAACGTAAGGTAACTTAAAAATGGCACAGACACTCACAAGGACTTCAATACTATACAAGGATAAATACTATACAATGAAGAATATACATGACAAAATATCAAATAGGCAACTTAAAAATTTAATATGATGATGGATGGACGAAAAATAAGACATTCACGATAACACGTAAAAACAATTGTGATAGAAACGGTATAGCAGTGAATGAAATGTTTACATCTAGTCATCTTAAGAACAATGCAAACATTTATCAATGCTTAAATTATTGCAACCAATGAAATTCTGAATAATTTCCGAAATTTTTGCAGCTTCTAAATGACCAACAGACTTATAATCACAATATGAAGAAACGATTTTTCAAATTTTTCAGAGCATTATGAAACGTAAATTTTCAGCTGCTTTTCAGATTGCATGGTCATTGTTTCAACAAAATATAGAGTGAAAAGTAAAAAATGACTTACGCTGGAACACTTTTTCTTGCAAAAATATGGTTAAAGTCCAAATTTTACATGTTGTGCTTTCCTTTTTTTTTTAAAGTGTGCAACTGTTGAATCATTAATGATTTGGCACAAATTCTAAGGCTAAGTTTCCAAGATGTGGCTAATTGGCTAAGTTTCCAAAATGTGGCTAATTGGCTAAGCTTTCAAAATGTGAAAATGGGCAATTTCCCTTTTATGCAGGCATCAAAAATAAAATTTTAGATGTTTTTTTTCCCACTTGTGATGGTTACAATTTCTTTCTTTTGATGTTGGTTAGGTCCAAAATTAATAAACTCCCATTGAACTTCAATTGATTAACTTTACTTTTACTTTATTTTATACTTATCACCAATCGCATGTGAGCTTATTTTAGAGAAGCACAAGCACATGGATTTATGATCTTTAAAATATAGGGTGTAGCTGCAAGCTGGGAAATATGGTCCCAATAATTTGGCCACGACAGATGTCCAAAGTTTGGGCCCCTTAATGTTAATTTTACTTTTTGTCTAATCAAGAGCTTTTTATTCAGAGATTAATAATTTTTTTCACACAATAATGAAATTTGTTTATTCAAAGGTAATTTTAAGCAAAAAATAGCTCATGGTAATTATTTATTATTTTTTATTATTTTATTTAAGAAAATTTTTTAACAAATTGAATTGTCAGGTATACAATTTTTTACACCATTTTAAATAATGTAACTTTACATAGCAAAACACTAATTTCCAGAGAAATAAATTGAATAGTTTTTGAGAAATCGAATTTTTAAAAAATTCGATTTTTCAAGAGCTATTCGACCTAATTTGCATTTTGCCATTGTAAAATTACATTCTTTAAAATGGTGTAAACATTTTTATATATTTGACAATTCAAATTTTTTTAAAATTTTCTTAAATAAAATCAAACAAAATAATAAGTATTTACCATAAGCTATTTTTTGCTTGGAAATTATCTTTGAATAAACAAATTTTATGATTGTGTGCAAAATTTTTTTTATTTACTTAAAAAGCTCGAGAAATGGTGAAATACACAAAAAGTAAAATTAACATTAAGAGGTCCAAACTTTGCACTGCTCTCCTTCGCATTTCTTTTCACTATGTCTACCACCGCAATTCTGTGGGACAGGTGAAGTGCATCACTTTGTATTACATAATGATAGAGGAAAAGGAGATTTTCATCACTTTCACCAACACAAAGTGCTTTCATTGCAATAGTACAAGGATAATTGCCGCCAACATTGAAAGTTATCCTACTTAGTGCACTATGAAGACTTAGCGAATGATTAGTTATATACCATGTCACATGGTATGATATAATGAAATTTATAATTTTTTTATTATAAATGTTCTAAAAAATTTAGATCATTTAAGAACACTTTTTTTACCAGGAATTTAAGGACAATTTCGAGAGCTGCCTTAAATAGATCCTAATTTTATTCAGATTGACCATTACAAAAATAATTTTCATTCTCATAAAAGAAATCATAATTGCTTTTCAGATTCATTTTTGAAATTGTCTAGAAAATATTGTTATTACACAAAAACAAAACAAAATATCAATTAGTAATTTGTAATACTTTAGTATTAGCAGAGTTATCAAAGTTTTTTTTCGTAATAAAAGAATATTTAGGAAGACAGGAAATTTGTTAACAAATTATATTTAAATTCCAGTTACTTTCTAAAACAAGTTTGTTGTTCTCATAGCTTAGGACCAAGATATTGTAATTTTATTTTTCAGCAATGTTTAAATAAATTTTTTCTTGTAAAAAAATTTATTGTCTTACAAAAATGCTTAAATAAGCATAATGTAAATCTTTTTATAACTCACAACTCACTCATTTCCATTAACTATATTTTCTAATGAAATTAAGAATTTGGTAGAGTATGTCAGTTTTAAATAGTTTTTTAATGAAATAAATTAATTATGCCTTGAAAAATTAAAAGATAAATACTGCAACATAGTAGGAAAAAAGTAATCATAAGATCGAGTTATTCAGGGTGATTTTTTATCAGTTATAAGTTAAATTATATTTGTACTGGATGACACAAGAACACTGGAATTTTTAAAGTAATGTAATTTGCACAAATAAACACACGAAACTTTCTTTATATGAAAGTGCATGGATATAGTGTGCCATTTTAGTTTTTATAACAAAATATACCATCAACTATCTTGACATTTTAAAGATGTACGCCATGCTGGCATTCACTTTCTAATAGCATGTTACAAAAACACTGGAATGTTTAGTGTTGCAGATTTTCCCATATCTTCTTTAGGTAGTGGGTTTGTGACATTCTGTTGAAACTAATTTTTCAATCTTAAAGGTGACATCAGAAAATGTTTTACACCAAGCATTCAGGAGTTTCCATATCAAGTTATAAGAATGTGAATATTGTCATGGAACATATATTTCGTATGTCATCTTTCAAAAAATAAAAGAGAATAGATACATTTTATTTTAAAAACATACATGGTATACTGTATACATACACTTTTTTTAATAATTTCTTTTTCTTGAGTATTTTGTGTAAATTGTGTTACTTCAAGATTCCCAGTTCTTTCTGTCTCACCCTGTATATTTTGGTTAACAAGTTTAATATTTTAACAAAAAAAACTCAAAGTCAAAATTCTATTCACAACACGAAAATTGATTATTTACACAAAAAAGATCAACTAAAAATTTGCAATGTTTTTTGACTAATATTTTGATAAAAGTTCATTATTTTGAAGTTTTTCAGAAAAAAACATATTGAGGAATATATCCCAGCTAAGTAATTTCAATGATATAGTTGGACTTTTTATTGAAAGAATTAAATTACATTTGCAGATAAGATTTTTTAGTTTTAAGATGTATTACAAATGCATGATAGATGAACTTGAAAAATAATTATTGTATAAAAAGAACTTCCCTGGAAACTATAGTTTTTAAAATCTTCGAATAAAAAAATAATGAATAAATAAAACATTTTTATAAGATTTTTTTCCCAGACAAAATATGGCAACAAAGTTTAAATTCATTTGTCAAACTTTAGAATTATAGTGCAGATATAGTGTTCATAAAATAATAGTTTAGATTAGTTTATTTATTCTAAATTACAATAATAATTATGAGCAAGAATGAAAAAAAAATTATAAAAGATTTTGAATGAGATATTAGTAGCAAATTTAGTTACTCCAAGAGTTAAAATTTTGAATTCTTAAAAAAATGTTATTGTCACCATATTTTACAATTAAAATACATTTCTTCGGCTCTTTCATTGGATATGTAACATCACACAGGCTGATTGAACACACGTTTCATGCACATGACCATGTTAAATCTAATAAAAATAAAAAATAAAATAGAAATATAAATGCATAATTCAACTAAAATAAAATAATAGTCTAAAACATCATACAAAACAAAATATAGCAAAAAAATGAAACAGACCTTCAAAGGTTGGAAAAATAAAAAATAATTAATTTAAGGTTTTTAGAACAAACAGGAGACAAATAATAATAACAACAATAATAAAAAAAAACATAACACGAGACAGTTAATATGAAGGTTTAAAAAAATAATACATATTGTTTATAAATAAAATTTTAAGTCTACACAATTAATATTGAAAGGAAAATATTTTAATAATACAAAAACTTATTTGCTGATATCACATTGACCTTTGACAAATCAATGTCCAACACTAAACGAAGAAAAAATAATG